AATGTGGCAGGATAAAAATCAATGCACAGAAATGAGTTGCTTTCCTATACACTAACAATGTAACTGTAGAAAGAGAAATTAGAGAATCAATTCCATTTACAATAGCACCAAAAACCATAAGATATCTGGGAATAAACCTAACCAAAGAGGTAAAGGATCTATACTCTAGGAACTACAGAACACCCATGAAAGAAATTGAAGACACAAAAACATGGAAAAACACTCCATGCTCATGGATTGGAAGAATGAACACTGTTAAAATGTCTATGCTGCCCGGAGCAATCTATACTTTTAACACCATCCCACTCAAAACACCAATGGCATTTTTCAAAGTGCTGGAACAAACAATCCTAAAATTTGTATGGAATCAGAAAAGACCCCGAATCGCCAAGGAAATGTTGAAAAAGAAAACCAAAGCTGGGGGCATCACGTTGCCTGATTTCAAGCTATATTACAAAGTCGTGATCACCAAGACAGCATGGTACTGGCACAAAAACAGACATATAGACCAATGGAACAGAATAGAGAGCCCAGATATAGACCCTCAACTATATGGTCAAGTAATCTTCAACAAAGCAAGAAAAAATATGCGATGGAAAAAAGACAGTCTCTTCAATAAATGGTGCCTGGAAAATTGGACAGCTATATACAGAAGACTGAAACTCGACCATTCTCTAACACCATACACAAAGATAAACTCAAAATGGATGAAAGACCTCAATGTGAGACAGGAATCCATCAAAATCCTAGGGGGGAACATAAGCAGTAACCTCTTCGACATAGGCCACAGCAACTTCCTTCAAGACATGAGTCCAAAGGTGTGGGAATCAAAAGCAAAAATGAACTTTTGGGACTTCATCAAGAGAAAAAGCTCCTGCACAGCAAAGGAAACAGTCAACAAAACAAAGATGCAACTCACGGAATGGGAGAAGATATTTGTAAATGACCCTACAGACAAAGGGCTGATTTCCAAGGTATATAAAGAGCTTCTCAATCTCAACACCCAAAAAACAAATAATCAAGTCAAAAAATGGGCAGAAGACATGAAAGACACTTCTCCAAAGAAGACATACAAATGGCTGACAGACACATGAAAAAATGTTCATCATCATTAGCCATCAGGGAAATTCGAATCAAAACCACACTGAGATACCACCTTACACCAGTTAGAATGGCAAAAATGGACAGGGCAAGACACAACAAATGTTGGAGAGGTTGCAGAGAAAGGGGAACCCTCTTACCCTGTTGGTGCGAATGCAAGTTGGTACAGACACTTTGGAAAACAGTGTGGAGGTGCCTCACAAAATTAAAAATAGAGCTACCCTATGGCCCAGCCTTTGCACTCCTGGGTATTTACCCCAAAGATACAGATGTAGTGAAAAGAAGGGCCATATGCACCCCAATGTTCATAGCAGCAATGTCCACAATAGCCAAACTGTGGAAAGAGCCAAGATGTCCTTCAACAGATGAATGGATAAAGAAGATGTGGTCCATATATACAATGGAATATTACTCAGCCATCAGAAAGGATGAATACCCAACTTTTATATCAACATGGATGGGGGAGGAGATTATGCTAAGTGAAATAAGTCAAGCAGAGAAAGTCAATTATCATATGGTTTCACTTATTTGTGGAACATAAGGAATAGCATGCAGGACATTAGGAGAAGGAAGGGAAAAATGAAGAGGGGAAATCGGAGGGGGAGACAAACCATGAGAGACTATGGACTCTGAGAAACAAACTGAGGGTTCTAGAGGGGCGGGTGGGGGGGCAGTGTTAGCCTGGTGATGGGTATTAAGGAGGGCATGTACTGCATGGAGCACTGGGTGTTATACACAAACAATGAATCATGGAACACATCAAAAACTAATGATGTTATGTATGATGATTAACATAACATAATAATTTAAAAAAAACTAATGATGGGAGGAGGGGAAAAGATGGCAAAGGAGTAGGAGACCGTATTCCAACCGGTCCCCGGAATTGAGCTGGATATCTACCAGACCACTCTGAACACACACGAAATCAGCCTGAGATGTAAGGAGATAGATCTGGAGCTCTACAAACAGAATATCGCAGGTGGTTGGTTTCAAGGTATGAGGTGGGGAGCCATAATTCTGCGGGCAGATATCAGAGGATAAATGGCAGTGGGAGGGAGCCTGGCCATGGGGATGCTACATGGCTGGTGAGTGATAGCCTTCTGTGCTGGGCACCGGGCACAGACGCGCAGACCGGTGTTGGCGGGGAAAGGACTTTAGGGCAGCCCCCCAGACAGAAACCCTGAGCGGCGGAGTCCAGCGAGCGAACTGGGAGCAGCTGGCAGTGTTAGATGCACAAAGGGCAGAGAGGTGCCCTGACCTGGAGGCAGGACTGGGGGCGCTGCAGAGGGGCGCACAACCCAGGACGCTGCAGTTTATAGCAGCACGGACAGAAATGGAGACAGTGTGGCCTGGAGAGCTCGCGGAAGAACAGACTGCAGTCTCTCTGTTCTGAGGCTGAGGGTTGGAAACGGTCTCTTCTGCTCTGACTCTCGGAAGAGAAGCAGAAAGCCACCAGGGAACAAAAGCCCCCAAAATACCGCTTTTCATTGAGCCCATCCCCCGCCACAGGGGTCAGAGCAACTCCGCTCAAACAGGGTTGCCTGAGTAACAGCGCGGCAGGCCCTCCCCCCAAAGACAGGCTGGGAAAACAAGAGGCCAGCAACCCAAAGGTCCCTAGAAAACAGGTGCATTTTGCTTCGGTTCCGGTCAATAATTTGGACTCTATACATTCCCTCAAACACCCATCAACAGAATGACTAAGAGGAGGAACCCCCAAAATAGGAAAGACTCAGAGATTATGACTTAAGCTGCAGATTTACAAATGGATGCAGATATAACCAAGATGTCGGAGATGGAATTCAGGCTAGCAATTGTGAAGACAATAGCTAGAATGGAGAAATCAATTAAGGGCAACATAGTCTCTAAGGGCAGAAATAAAAGCTGAATTGGCAGAACTTAAAAATGCTATCAGTGAGATCCAATCTAATCTAGATAATCTAACAGCTAGGGTAAGTGAGGCAGAAGAACGAATTAGTGACCAAAACCATTTAACAGATAAAAAGGGAAAAGAGGAAGCCAGGGAAAAACAACTCAGAATTCAAGAAAACAATCAGAGAAATAAGTGACACCACGAAACGTTCCAATGTCAGAATTATTGGAATCCTGGAAGGGGTGGAGAGAGACAGAGGACTAGAACATATATTTGAGCAAACAGTAGCTGAGAACTTCCCTAATCTGGGGAATGAAACAAACATTTATGTCCTAGAGGCAGAGAGGACCCCTCCCAAGATCAAGGAAAACAGGCCAACACCCCGGCATGTAATAGTATTACTCAGCCATCAGAAAAGATGAATACCCAACTTCTACATCAACATGGATGGGACTGGAGGAGATTATGCTAAGTGAAATAAGTCAAGCAGAGAAAGTCAATTATCATATGGTTTCACTTATTTGTGGAACATAAGGAATAGCATGGAGGACATTAGGAGAAGGAAGGGAAAAATGAAGGGGGGGGCGGAAATCGGAGGGAGAGATGAACCATGAGACGATGGACTCTGAGAAACAATCTGAAGGTTTTAGAGGGGAGGGGGGTGGGGGGATGGGTTAGCCCGGTGATGGGTATTAAGGAGGGCACGTACTGCATGGAGCACTGGGTGTTATATGAAAACAATGGATTGTGGATCACCACATCAAAAACTAATGATGTACTGTATGGTGACTAACATAACCTAATAAAAAAAAAAAAATCAAAGGATAGGAGAGTCCTTACTCCAGACAAAGCCCCAGAATTCACAGTGGTTTGTTGTACTTTACAGGTCACCTGAGTGAGACATTAGTTTTGGTGACTGAGGGGAAGTGACCAGCTCACCTGGCCAGGGCAGCAAGCAAACATAGTTCCTAATCTACCTGTCCTCACTGGCTTCCCAGGCCCTCTGACCTCTGATACTACCATATCTTCCATTCTATAACCCCTAAACACTCCTGCCCTGAGGACACCTCTGTTACACAAACTGTAATTTGGCAATGATAGAAGGTATGCACTCATCTTCTATTGGGTTTTCAGCTAAAGGCCAATTTGTGTTGCTGTGAAAGGATTTTGCAGAAGGAATTCAGGTCCTATTCAGTTGACTCTAAGAGAGAGAGTTTATCCTGGGTGGGCCTGGTCTAATCAGGGAGCCATCAAATCTCTGGGCTCTTCCTGGATTAAAAGATTCAAAATTAGAGACGATTTGAGGTGAGGGAGCTCCTCCTGCTGGCCTCTGGATAGAAATGTTGATACACCGGTTGAGGGCAGCCAGAGAAGGAAAGCAGGTAGTCCTTAGTAGCCGAGCATGGTCCCCTGATCACAGGCAGCAAGAAAGTGGAACCCCAGTCCCACCACTGCAAGGAACTGAATCCTGCAAACAAACAGGGAGCTCACAGGAGGAACCTGAGCCACAGAGGAGAATGCAACTCTGGCTGATTTCAGGCTTGTTAGACCCTGAGCAGACAATTAGCTACGCGCTGCCCAAGTGCTGCCCCAAAGAAATAAGATATAAATTTCTGTTTTTTTAAAGCCCTGTATGTGGGGAAATAATAGGCATGGAATGCAGCCTCTCTCAGGGCTCTCACCAGCACATCGTAGTGGGCCATGAGGACGGCAAAGCTGCTGAGGTGGGTGCACTGGCAGGTGGTGCTGATGTCTCCAGTGGCCACCATCCTGCAGCCTCTGGTGGACCAATGACCATATCCATCCGGAGTGTGATCCCAGAACACACAGAACACCTTTTGTGTTGGCCCAGGGGTCAGTGACTGTAGAAACAGAGTGTAGGTTGGACCTGGTTGTTCTGGTGCTCAGAAATGCTTATCCAAAGCTGGCTGGAAAAGAGCTTTCTTTGATGAATGATGCACCCATGGGGAGCCCCCAAGAACCTCAATCAGGCAGCGAGGGTGTGCCCAGGACCCAGGCTCCTTCCACACCCACAACCCCATCATACTAGGACTCACATGGTGAGAGAAAATGAAGGTGATGGGGGAGGTGAGGGTCCAGGTGTCCCTGTTGCTCATAAAAGCAGTGATGACATCTGAGACCAGGAGAGAGGAGACTCCTTGCAGCACGTCCTTGTGTGCCCCATGCAGAACTGCCTGCTTCTCAGACTCCAACACCAGGGGGGCCTCAGCCAGCAACCTGCCCATCCCTGGAGTGGAGACGAGACCCACCACAGAAGGACCTGCAGGACGAGGCCAATGTTGATACCTTGGGGTTCCCACAGGGCCCTTTTCTCCTCAGATGGATTCTTTGGGCCTCACCAAATGCCCCCTTCCCTTTTATCTTCAGTTCCCTGTTTGTCACATCCTTGGGCATCTTGTGACCTTCCCCCCATCTCAGCCAGTACCTGAGTCACCAGATTCATGCACCACATCCCAGTTCAGAAGCATCTTCACCTGATTTGAACTCAAAGTGACGTTTCTGTGTCCTTGCTCCTGCACCTCCAGGGACAGGTCTATGAGTGATAGGAGTTATATAAGGGAGTTAGGTTAGTAATTCTGCCTGTAGTGGTTGCTATAGCACCATTATTTTATATGTGTGGTGGTAGGCACACACACACACACACACACGAGTTACAAAGGATTATAAGAAAATACTATCAGCAATTGTACACCAACAAACTGGATAACCTAGATGAAAGTGACAAAATCCTAGAGACACACAAAGTACAAAAGTAACCGAAGAACAAATAAAATTGAACAGACCTATCACAGGCAAAGATAATAAACAGGTAAAAATTCCCCAAAATAAAAAGCCTAGACCAAATATCTTTACTGGTGAATTCTTCCAACCTTTTAAGTAAGAATTAATAAGAATCCTTTGTAAATTCCTCCAAAAGTATTGTATGGTGACTAACATAACATAATAAAATTTAAAAAAAAAAGTAGTAGGAAAGGATAGAATACTATCTAAATAATTTTATGAAGCCACCATCACCCTGATAACAAAACCATGGAGCACTGGGTGTTATACGAAAACAATGGATTGTGGATCACTGCATCAAAAACTAATGATGTATTGTATGGTGACTAACATAACATAATAAAATTTAAAAAAAAAAGTAGTAGGAAAGGATAGAATACTATCTAAATAATTTTATGAAGCCACCATCACCCTGATAACAAAACCATGGAGCACTGGGTGTTATACGAAAACAATGGATTGTGGATCACTGCATCAAAAACTAATGATGTATTGTATGGTGACTAACATAACATAATAAAATTTAAAAGAAAAAACAGAAAAATCTATTAGGAGAAAACTACAGACCAATATTTCTTGTGAGCATAGATGTAAAACAACCTTTAACAAAATATTAGGAATAAATTTACCCAAGGAGGCTCAAGACTTGTACACAACAAACTACAAAAAAAATTGTTGGAATAAATGAGAGACCCTAAGTAACTGGGAAAACAGTCTGTATTCATGGTTTAAAAGGCTTAATACTGATAAGATGGCAATATTTCCCAAAGAGGTCTACAGATTTAATATATACCATATCAACATGCCAAAAACATCTTTTTTAGAAATGGAAAAGTCCATCCTAAAATTCACAAGGCATTGCAAGGGGCCCAAATACCCAAAACAATCTTGAAAATGAAAAACAAAATTGGAGTACCTACTACACCTCCTGATTTCAAAACTATTAACCTACAGTAATCAGAACAGTAGGGCACTGGCATAAGGATAGGCATACAGACCAGTAAAATAAAATTGAAAGTCCAGGGCGCCTGGGTGGCTCAGTCTGTTAAGCGTCTGCCTTCGGCTCAGGTCGTGATCCCATGGTCCTGGGATCGAGCCCCACATTAGGCTCCCTGCTCAGCAGGGAGTCTGCTTCTCCCTCTGCCCCTCCCCCTCATCATGCTTGCTCTCTCTCCCTCTCTCTCTCTCGCAAAAATAAATAAATTGAAAAAATTGAAAATCCAGAAATAAACCCATACATCTGTGGCCAATTGAATTCCAGCAACGGATGCCAAGACCTGGGGCTCCTGGGTGGCTCAGTTGGTAAAGTGTCTGCCTTCGGCTCAGGTCATGATCCCAGGGCCCTGGGATCGAGTCCCACATCAGCTCCTTGCTCAGCAGGGGGCCTGCTTCTCCCTCTGCCTGCCGCTCCCCTTGCTTGTGCTTTCTCTTTCTCAATCTGACAGATAAATAAATACAAATCTAAAAAAAAAACTAACATAACATAATAAAATAAAATATAATTAACTAATTAATTTTAATTTAAAAAAGGGATGCCAACAAAGGGGCACGTGCACCCCAATGTTTATAGCAGCAATGTCCACAAGAGCCAAACTGTGGAAAGAGCCAAGATGTCCATCGACAGATGAATGGCTAAAGAAGATGTGGTATATATACACAATGGAATATTATGCAGCCATCAAAAGGAATGAGATCTTGCCATTTGCAACGACATGGATGGAACTGGAGGGTGTTATGCTGAGTGAAATAAGTCAATCAGAGAAAGACATGTATCATATGAACTCACTGATATGAGGAATTCTTAATCTCAGGAAACAAACTGAGTGTTGCTGGAGTGGTGGGGGGTGGGAGGGATGGGGTGGCTGGGTGATAGACATTGGGGAGGGTATGTGCTATGGTGAGCGCTGTGAATTGTGCAAGACCGTTGAATCACAGATCTGTACCTCTGAAACAAATAATGCAACATATGTTAAGGAAAAAAGAAAAGAAGAAGATAGCAGGAGGGGAAGAATGAAGGTGAGTAAATCGGAGCGGGACACAAACCATAAGAGACGATGGACTCTGAAAAACAAACTGAGGGTTCTAGAGAGGAGGGGGGTGGGGGGATGGGTTAGCCTGGTGATGGGTATTAAAGAGGGCACATTCTGCGTGGAGCACTGGGTGTTATGCACAAACAATGAATCATGGAACACTGCATCAAAAACTAATGATGTAATGTATGGTGATTAACATAACAATAAAAAATTTAAAGTAAATTAAAAAAGGGATGCCAAGACCCTTCACTGAAAAAAAAAAGTCTCTTCAGCAAACGGTGTTGGCACATCTGGATCTCCACTTGCAGTAGAAGTAACTGCATGCACTTCACACAAAAAACACTAACTCAAAATGGTCAAAAACCTATATTTATGAGCTAAAACCAGAACAGTTAGGAGGAAACACAGGTGTAATCTTCATGGCCTTGGATTTGGCAATGGATTCTTAAAGAAGACACCAAATGCACATGCAACAAAAGAAAAATAGAGAAAACAAAAGAGAAATTCATCAAAACAGAAGCATCTGTTCATTAAAGTGAAAAGACCATGGAGAAAGTGAAAAGACAGTCTATGGAATGGGAGAAAAAATTAGCAAATCACATGTCTCATAGAGTGTACCACAGAATATATAAAGAATTCTTACAGCTCAACAACCAAAAGCCAAACAAAGAATTTAAAAATAGGCAAAGGACTTGAATAGATGTTTCAAAAATAAAAACATATACAAATATTCAACAATCACATAAAAAGATGTTAAACGTCATTAGTCATTTGGGAAAGGAAAATCAAAACCACAACAAGATATCCCCTGACATACACTAAAAAGGCTAAAGGAAAACAAAATGTAAGCACCAAGTGTTGCTGAGACTGTGGATATGGGAACACTTGTGTGTTGCTGGTGGGGATGTAAAATGGTGCCTCCATTTTGGAAAAAGAGTTTGGTAGTTCCTCAAAAAGTTGAACATAGAGTGACCTCATCACTCAGAAATTCCACTCCTGGGGCACCTGGGTGACTCAGTCAGTCAAGCATCTGCCTTCAGCTCAGGTCATGATCCCAGGGTCCTGGGATCAAGCCCTGCATAGGGCTCCCTTTTCCGTGGGGGGCCTGCTGTTCCCTCTGTCTCTGCTGCTCCCCCTGCTTGTGCTCTCTCTCTCTGTCAAATAAATAAATAAAACCTTTTTTAAAAAATCCACTCCTATGTATGTATACAAAGAGCTAAGAATAGTTATTCCAACAAAAACTTGTCCACCAATATTCATAGCCATGCTATTCAAAATAGTCAAAAGCTGGCAACAACCCAAAAGTCAGTCACTGGATGAATGATACTCAAAAGGTACTATATCCACAATAATGGAATATTATTCAACCATAAAAAGGAAAGGAATTCTGCAACATGCTACAACAGGGATTCCCCTTGAAAACATCATGCCGTGTGAAAGAAGCCAGACTATAAGGTCACCTATTGCATGATTCTATAGGTATGAAATGTTCCGAATATTCAAATCCACAGACTCAGAAAACAGACTGCTGGCTGCAGGGTCTGGGGGAAGGAGAGATGAGAAGGGACTTCTTAGTGGGTACACTATTTACTTTTGGATGATGAATACATTTTAGAAATGGAGGTGATGGTTGTACAACTCTGAGAGTGTCAAAAGTGCCAGGGAATTTTACACCTTCCTTACAATGGTGAATTTTATATTACCTGAATCTTACCTCAATAAAACAAATCATACTTAAATATCAAATATTATCAAATTTACATTCTTCAAAATTTAACAAATTGTATTTTGAAGATGTTTCTATTTTGTTATCTTAAATTCTTCCTTATAATTATTTCATGTGTTGATAATTTATATTACAGTGAAAATGTGTATGATTTACAGTTTTATTCACTTAACCTCTTAATTGGCTTATGAGTATAATATGGAGATATAAGCATGGTCACACACTCCAGTGAGGCTGGGGGACAAAGGAGGTGGGAATAGGCAGAGCAGAGCCTGGGGCAGACCCCAGTACTTACCTGTGCCTGCAGATGCATTGAAGGTCAATGTCCCATTGGGCAGGGCCTGGCTCAGCTTTCTCAGGACATCCTCAAGGCCAACAAGCAGGTTAGTGGCCACACAGTGCTGCTCTGAGCGGGGCAGGGCCTCCAGGTCCTCAGGGGTCTGCAGCAGCTCATCCACCTCCTGTATGAGGTCCTGGGGGGATGGGGACACAGAGCCAGTGAGCATGAAGACCCTGTTCACTCAGCCCCAGAAAACAGACCCTGGATACTCATTGGTAGATGAAGGTGGTACTGGATCAGAGTCCCTGGGTCTTTGCCCCTGGAATCCAGAAGTCAACCCTGTTCACAAACCAAGAATGACATTACCCCAGTGTCCAGAAACAGTAAGAAGAAAAGTCATTTGTGATACTACTGTCTCAGCAAGATGGCGGAGGAGTAGGAAACCTGGATTTCATCTGGTTCCAGGAATTCAGCTGAATTGGGATCAAACCATTCTGAACACCTACGAACTCAATAGGAGATCAAAGGAAAGAATAGCAACAACTCTCTGAACAGAAAAGCGACCACTTTCTGGAAGGTAGGACATGCGGAGAAGTGAATCCGAGGCGATGTTCGGGAGGATAGATGGCGGGGGGGGGGGGCCTCCGTCGGCTGCTCCTGGCAAGTGATAGGGCCGCGGAGCACAAAATCAGAACATTTAGAAGTAGGCTCCACTGAGGGACTCACTCCAGTGGCTAAGCAGGGGGTGGAACCCTCGTGGGACAGTGTGGTCTCAGGACCCTCGGGGTCACAGAAAGACCGGGGGTGCCTGAGTGCGGCAGAGCTCCCAGGTATTGGAGCAGGGAAGCCGGGTATAGAGACAGAGCCAAGGCGCGGGCTCGCAGCTCGGGGTTGCCATAAACTGTGATCCGCGGCCCAGTCGGGCCACTGCTCCTCCAGCAGGGACCCAACAAGCGGCAGAGCCGGGGAGACTCCCCTCCCTCCCCCGGGAGGAGCGGCGCGGGAGCGCACCGCAGGGATCTGCTGGGTCTGGAGACTCCACACGGGGTCGGGTGCCAGAGATAGAAACGCTGGGTCACAGGCCGGGTGAGCACGGAGAGCAGCCGGAGACCGGGGACACGGGAGTGACTGCTTTTCTCTGGGGGCACACTGAGGAGCCGGGCCCCAAGTCCTCAGCTTCTCCGGGGCGGAGACTGGGAGGCTGCCATTTTCACTCTGGTCCTCCAAAGCTGTACGGAAAGCTTGCAGGGAACAAAAGCTCCGAGAGCAAACCCCAAGCAGATTCCCTAGCAGGGACCAGCAAGGGCGGGGCAATTCCGCCTCCGGCAAAGACATTTGGGAACCACGGCAACAGGCTCCTCCCCCAGAAGATCAGCACAAACGGCCCGCCAAGACCAAGTTTACCGATCAAGGAGAACGGCAGAACTCCAGCGCTAGGGGAATACTGCACATAGAATTCATGGCTTTTTTACCATGATTCTTTAGTCCTTCAAAGTTAATTTTTTTTAGCTGTCTTTTTTTAAATTTTTCTTTTTCCCTTTTTCAACCAAAATCTTATCCCTTTTTTTATTTTTTTAAGATTTTATTTATTTATTAATGAGAGACAGAGAGAGAGAGAGAGAGGCAGAGGGAGAAGCAGGCTCCCAAGGAGCAGGGAGCCCGATGGGGGACTCGATCCCAGGACCCTGGGATCATGACCTGAGCTGAAGGCAGACGCTTAACCATCTGAGCCACCCAGGCGCCCTTTATCCCTTTTTTTAAAAAACATTATTATTTTTCATTTTTAGAGTCATATTCTCTCCCTTCATATTAGTTACCCTTATTTTTGGCATATATATATAAGTTGTTCTCTCTTTAAAATTTTGAGATACAGTTTCCTCTAACAGATCAAAATATACCCTAAATCTCTAGTGTATGGCTTTGTTCTAGTCTCCTGCCTGATCACATTCTCTCCCCCTTTTTTTTTAAATCCTCTTCTTTCTTTTTTTTCAAACAACTTCTTATCAATTCCTTCTTTAAAATCTTTTATAATTTTCATCTTCAGTCATATTCACTTAACCATCCCTTCATCATATTTACCCTTACTATTGTACATATATAAGTTTTTCTTTCTTTAAAATTTTGGGAGGCACTTTCTTCTAACAGACCAAAATACGCCCAAAATCTACTGTGTGGCACTGATTTGTACACCAGCCTGATCATATTTGATCATTTTCTGTTTCTTGTTTGTTTGTTTGTTCTTATCTTTTTCTTTTTTTTCTATCCCTTTCTATTCCCCCGGTTTCAGGTCTTTTCTGCTTTGTTTAGAGTATATTTTCTGGGGATGTTGTTACCCTGTTAGCATTTTTTCTCTCATTCATCTGTTCTCCTCTGGACAAAATGACAAGACGGAAAAAATCACCTCAACAAAAAGAACAAGAGGCAGGACAGACTGCCAGGGACCTAATCAATACGGACATTAGTAAGATATCCAAACTAGAGTTCAGAATGATGATTTTAAAGATACTAGCTGGGCTTGAAAAAAGCATGGAAGTTATTAGAGAAACCCTTTCTGGAGAAATAAAAGA